GAGGGTGTGGGAGAAGGGACGTGGTGAGGGGAGGGAATGTGATAGTGTTAGACTTGGGGCTTGGTAGAGGGTGAGTGAAGCATGTGCTCCTATGGTAGTGTGACCTACTCCCCAAATTATATAGTTGTTTAAATGATCAGCAAATAGTGAAACTGGAAAAACAAAAATAAAAAAATAAAGACACAATTTTGTTCATATAGTCTATACAAGTTGAATTAAAAATAATCATTGTTTCATGACACACTATTATTGTTAGTCCAAGCATAGCCCTTCTTTTTATTATTTTCAAGATTTATTTATTTATGCATACAAGAACTGGGGTGTAGGCCAGAGGTGTGGGGGTGGTGGTGGTGAGAGGATTCACCAGAGCAAGAGTGGAGAACAGAACAGGCCGATTGACTGAAATACACTGCTGAGGGGAATAGTGGGTGAGTCAGGAGAGGTCTGCTGCACCATATGGGTCATCTCCCTGCAGGGGGATGGAACTTGTACAGCAGTGGCTACAGACAGCTTCACAGTGCTGCATCTTAACCCCTTGTGCCACCAAGGAGGCCCATCCCTTATTAGTTTATGTGTTTTTCTCTAAAGAGCTGACATGAATTAACTACAGCACTCAAAGCCTAGGAGCTTCTCCCCTAAACTTGTGGAACCCAACAATTCTTTCTGCAGTTTCTTTATGGTTCTCAGCACCTCCTGAGGGGAATAACCCGTCTGAATGTTTGCCAAGGGCCACTTTCTTCTCCTGTCCTCTCATCTATCTCATCAGCTTGAATTTCAAGCTCTTTGAATGTTTTCCAGCCTGTAACTTAAACATTGGCAAGAAAAGAACATTCCACTTGGCTTTGGATAAAAAATTTATGAATTCACAGAGAGAGATACTGAAATTTTTTGCAACGTACTTTGTGCCTACATCACTCAACATCTCTGGTAATGGCAAAATATTCTTTCTAGCAAATGAACAAAAATCTAACACCAAGATTTTAGGAAGCAAAGGGTTTTAACAGAGTGCCTTGCAAGTCAGGTCTAAAGCTATGGTAACACCAGAAGAGTCTTCTTACTGTCTAGAGTTTCAGCAGCTTCACTATTCATTTTGAATGAGGGCCACCAGACACTGTCAAACAGCAGCCAGTAGACATGCAGAGACAAAGCTTTTCATAGCTTTTGGAGAATATTAATTATGATGTATTTTGGATGGGAAATTTGAGGGATGTTATGTTTAGAGAAACTGCTGGGGCTGGTGTTGATAAATCAGCGGAAATCAAGGGCCTACAAGAGAGGACCCTGGAAAAGCCAGCAATACACGGTCTCAGGCAACAGGTATTCTGGGGAAGGGTGTGTGGGGAGAAGCTTAGGGAACTTCAGGCTGACTTTCTGTTTCCTCATTGCCATTCTGGAGGTTCTTAGATATTTCTCTGTCCAAGTACTTGAAAACATGAGTAAAGAAAACTGTCATATATGCTGATGACCAGATCAGTTCTACCCCATTCAGCTATGTTGTTTTTCTGGTCTTGCTGCAATTCTGTCCACAGTGTCCACACAGGTTCCTGCACTGAGCTATTGTTAGAAGTGTGCAAGATCAAGGTTTCCAGTCTTCATTAAAATATCATTTTTCCTTTCTTTTTAGCCTATGGGAACTTTGAAATTGGCTTTGTTATATCCTAGCCCATGCCTCATAATAAAAAGATTTTAGAAATTTCTTTAGGTTTCAAGTTCAAACCAAACAGTGGGTCTGGTTGTATTTTGTGCAGATAATGTATAAATCATTTGCTGTCAGATTTTAGACATTTTGAATGAACTGTCCTGAGAAAAGAGTACTTGAATGTTCAGGTTCACAAAATTTGGGGACTTTGGATGGATCCTAATATATTTAGGAGACCCCATTTAAAAATATTTATCCATCCAAATGGAATGAAAGGGTGCTTGTCCTACAAATGGCCTCTGGAATAACATTAGAAGCCCAGCCCCTGCCACTGAACAGTGGCTATTACCCTTGGACACTGGTGAGAAGGGCTTAGAATTCTGGAATAATTTTCCTTTGAATTTATGACTCTTCAACTTCAGTTCACACATCAACCTTCTTGTCCCCTCTCCCATGTTAAATTGGTTCATAAAACTCCACACACCATAAAATGAGATCTGGGTGGAGATGTGGCAAAGTATCCCCCAAGGTCAACATTATGATAGACTCCCCAACCCAACTCCTCCTGGGCCCCACCCCAGGAGAAAATGGAAACAAAAGGCACTGATGGTCTACAGTCTTTAATTCAGGCAACCCCCGCATAGCTGTTGGTTCTGGTTTAGCTGCGACCACAGAGGCCTTTATAAAGGGAGACCCCTTTCTTTCTCTCCATGTTCCTTATCTGAGTAGTGGTCTGCACAGAGGAATAAGAAAATGCCAGAGCCTTAAACTAGGCTCAAGAGAGCTGACACCAAGGACTTCCCGTGGCCTGACTCCAGCCACATGTGGAGCAGTCCCGCCTGGAGCAGCCAGCCCTGATGGTGTCTGAAATATTTGGCTCCTGGCTCAGGCTGTGGGCTGGCTGTCTGGTTTGTTTGAACACTAACTAGCCTGGGAGTCTTTGTGTAGAATGCTCCTTGAAGCTTTTTCCATGACATCTGCCAATTAAATGTATGAATTACTCTGTTTACTCCTCCGTGACAGGGCAGATATTTTAATCAGAAGCAAGAGTTTTCTTTTCATCCTTGTTTTTAATTCGAACATTTGATAATGAACCAGAAACTGGGCCAGATGATTTTACATTTGCTGTTTCATTTTATTCCTTGTTACAGCTCTGCAATGGGCTTGGAATTTCCATGTTATAGATGAGGGAACTGAGACACAGAGATAGGAATTGATCGAGAGTCACTCAAAGTGATCGGGGCAGAGTAAGAGCTAGAGTCTAGGGGTCCTCATTTCAAGAATTTTAAAAAATCTTCTCCATTCCAATTTCCTCAGGACCAATGCTTGACTGGTTTGAGTTGGTATTTTAACCTTTATTCATTCTCACATGCACTCTACATGAGCGCCCACCACTCAGCATCTGCTGTGCAAAATCTACTACATAAAAGGGATTAAAGGTTAGGCACAGGGGTCTGCACACATTTTCTGTCAAGAAACAAATAATAAATTTACACTTTGAGCACCATCTGGTCTTTATTCCTCTTTCATTCTACCATGGTGGCTTGAAAGTAGCCATGTATAATAGAACTAGGTGCATTCCAATAAAACCTTGTTTACAAAAATAGGCAGCGGATCAGACTTGGCTCTCTGGCTGCAGTTTCTATAGATAACTAGGTCATGCATGACTGCAGGCCCATACTTAGCACCATAGTGAGAGCACGCACAGTTACGTGCTCCCCCACCCACAGCCCTACCTGAACCGTTGTCTTCCACGTGAGGCAATGAGAGGCCTTCTCTGTCCTCCGTCGTATCTCCTGCCTCACCCATGTGAATGTTCTGGTAGAGATATCCTCCGCTTTTCCAAAGTTTGCTTCAGGTCACTCTGCTTTTACAAAGACCTATATATGACCTGTTTTCATAAACCACAAGAAAATTTTGAAGAGAATTTTCCCTTTTATGACAACAGGTGAAAAGTGAAATAACATTCAGCACTTTTGCAGCAGCCTGTCTACAGCTAGCTCACTCCCTGAACAGCAGGTGGCCCTACCAGCTCCTTCCCCTGACCTCCTTTATAGAGAATGTATGTGGCCTTTCCTTTTTGCTTTTACTATATGTGTTATTTTAGATTTTGTGTGTTATTTGGTATAATTTGAACCATTATTTTTTTGGGTGTGAGAACACTCCAAAAAAATTTCCATGTGAGTGAATAGTAATTGCCTCTTTACTTTATACCATTTTGTTTACAAAAGGTTTTAGATAGTGGGGCAAACTGCACTAATTAAACCCTTGTGTGGTTTGGGTAGGGAAAATGTTAAATAAGGGGAAGTGACAAGGATACTAGCTCTGAAAGAGCACAGAAAAGCTGGGTTGAGCATGGCCATCCACAGACCTAATTACACTGCAAAAGTATTAATTATGATCATAGCAGTGGCTACCATGGATTGATACTTACACAATCTCACTTGACTCTCAGAACAATCCAGTTCATAAGTATGGCTATTTCCACTTTTCAAATGGGGAAACATTGACTCAGAAAAGTTAGGTCATAAGGTCAGACAACCAGGAAGCAGCAGAATCAGGCTTTGAGTGAAAGTGCTGGTTTCCAAAGTCTATATCCTCAATGCCAAAGTCAACAGAGTTTAAGAGAAGAAAATAAAGAACATTGAGCTTGTCATCATCGTTGTTGCCTTCATGGATTCATGACAACAAGAAAAACCAAGGGGCCACTTGACATGAATGATGTTCTTGTGGGGACAGCAACCACACAGTATGTCCTATTGACTCTGGGCAGATTCCTGAAGCACCTAAGATGACCTGCGAGTGTGTGCTCACAGTGCCCTCTGGTTGCCAGGAGGAATACCACAGGGATCCTACTTGGTTCCCTCCACAAAGATGGAAGAAGCTTTCCTGCCCACCTGTGCCTATGCCGGTGTTTCTCCTCACCAACCTTCTACCTTTGCAAAGCAGCAGAGGCAGCTCTCCTCTCAAGCTGCGCACCTGTGATGTGCAGGCCTCTCTTTTTGGGAACCTATCTCTTCCAGGGACAGCTCTTTCTGCCTGCTGGTGTCTGAGCAAGTGTCTGTCCCTTCTCTTTTTATAATAAACCTGCCTCTTTGGATATAAAAAAGGAAAGAAGATGGAAGAGGCTTACTAACAGTTGTTGAAGATTGGAATTTGAATCGTGGTGTGAGATTTTATTGAGATTCATTTCATGTTACTCTTATAATTCCAGATATATTGCTAGATATTTACTGAGAATGGGAGGGAGAGGAAAGAGAACCTGCAATTTACACAGGACAAGTGGAGGCGAGAGACAAGACACCCTTCTGCCATTTGGCTGCCTCCCGTCTGAACAACCTGCACATCTTTCCTTTCCTAGGGTGCCCTACGGTCGACTGAATGCTGATCACATCTGGGTCAGGAAGAAGTCAAGGAGGCTCCCAATGATCCCTGGGGGCATTTATAGCACTAAACCAGGTAAAGTTTACTTTATCATTGGAAGTCAGATAACGATGCACTTGACAGTGGGTACAAGGAAAGGGGACAATGCCAAGGCAAAAGAATACAAATCAACTGGTTATTAAAGAAGCTCGAATAGGAGAATTGAAAATATATAAATTAAATAAATAAAATATCACCCCTCATGGCACAGCCGTGCTGTGGCCTGGGGATGGAACTGGAAACTTTGTGTGGTGAGTTCTAGTGGGATGTGGGTTGGGCCGAAATAGATCTGTCTCCAAGAAATACATTTATCAAAATGCTAAGCTTTAATTTTTTTTTTTTAAGTAAACAGCCAGGAAAATACCAGTCTTGATCCTTTCTCAAATAAGGCCCTGGATATGTCTATGGACATCCCTGTGAAGGGAAAACCCGTATTAATTTGACCCAAGCTCCCAGCCGCCCGCCCCTGGTCCATTCAGTTTGGCCTCACAGCCTGGGGGGTTCTGTCCGAACCTCTCCTTTTCACCCACTGGGGGCAGCAGATGATGTGCTTCCTTTTTTTCAGAAGAGTAACCATATTGGAAGAAATACAGGTCATGAGAAAACAATTTTGCTGGTCCAGTAGTCAAATCTCTGAGCCCACAGAGATGTTTCTCTGCCTACCACACTTTCCTTGGCTCTTCCCGGCTCCATCCACTAAGCAAACACTTCCTCTGCATTTCGATGCCTTCTAACACTGAATATAATGTAATGGAAAGAAGCATTGAAGGCCCGGGTTTTGGTGGTTTGGCTATTAACTTCCTCTCAGCGTTTAATATCCCAGGCTTTTACTTTTCTCATTTCCATTCAATAGTGTCCCTCCTGCAGTGCCAGTGGAGAATCAGAGGGTGTGATGTATGTGACAGTATGTTAATAAATGTTAAGAGTCAAACAAGTATTAAGTGCTGATAGGTGTGTGGCATTGAGAAATATGGTTCAAGACACAGGCTTTGACCTTGAAGAATTTATAATCTAGTCAAAAAGTTCAACAGAAAAATAGGTTGTTTTAAGGTAATGTATGGTGATGGGCTTGTGTGTGTTTGTTTTGATTTTTTCTTATTGGTCATTGCCAACCACACTATAGACGACTCCAAATCCTATACCCACTTCTACTGATACCCTTCCTTCTTTGGACCTCAGATTTCCAACTGGCCAAATGGATAGGTAGCTAGATAATTTGTTGATCAACTTAGGAGACATCTGAAAGGCGCAGAGGCACTGTTAATAATTATGCCAGAGAAGTTGGTAATTGGTGACTGTCCCAGGCCATCAGACATTATGGTCACACTGCAGATGAGAGGGGCAGACCTGTTCAATGCCTAAGGCCTAGTCCAGTTCTTACAATTTATGGCCTTACCTTTATGATCCAAAGTCTCTGTTCCAGCCATCCTGTTTCTTTTTTGGCTATTCCATGGGTGTGGCTGCTGGTCAGTGGTGAGACAGCCAAATCTTGGCAAGCCCTGAAAAATCCTGGTTGCTATCCTTCCAGATCAAGTCTTTTGTGGGTCAAACTGTACCATGTTCTTATGAGTCAAACTGTACCTTATCTGTTGGCGCCTCACTGCCAAGTAGGCCTGAGGACCTGCATGAAAATAAATCAAAACACAAGCAGCACAGGTCATGCTCCTGCTGGATGTTGAGCTCCTGAACTGTCTGCTTTCCCAGCTCAGATGCTTTTTATATTAACCTCCTCTTCCAGAGCAGTAAGCCCCACGCTCGCACAGATGGGCAAGTTTCCAGGCGACAAATATATGTTGAATAATACCTACACACTGTGAGCTTTGGCAAGCTTAAGATCAGTGAGAAGGAAAGATTAATGAGTTGGTTTTGTATCTCTCTCTTCCTCCCCACCCTCTTCACAATTTGATTCCCTTTCCACTTCCTCTCTCAATATTTTTATGGGCTTGTGATAGAATCTTTAATATTTCTTTTCCTATGTCTTCTAATAAAAGGATTCCCAACCACAGTGAGTGGGGAAACTGAGGCAGAGACGAACCACAAAGGAGTTTTGGGTAATTATTACAGGGAGCTCACACCATTGGCACTAGATGATCGGAAATTAGCGATGGAGTGTGCTACATATTCCGTCTCTATGTTGTCTAACTTGTGAGATTTAGACACTTTAACATACTCATTTTTTTTTTAAATGTCAATTTTCTTTTAAGATTTATTTATTTATTTATACAAGCACTGGGTACAGTCAGAAGCACAGTAGGGTGAGAGAATTCACCAGAGCCAGAGAAGGGAGCAGAACAGACAGACTGACGAAGTACACTGCTGAGGGGAGCAGCGGGTGCGGCAGGAGAGGTCTGTTGCCACCATGTGGGACCCTCTCCAGCGGCCGGGGATCGAACCGGTACTGCAGAGGCTGTGGGCAGCTTCACAGCCTGGCACTCAACCGCTGCGCCACCAAGGGAGGCCCTTTAACATACTCTTAAGTGCAAAAACAAGGTAGTGTGACTGGGCTGGCCACGCCTCTTCCCAGCAATGAACAAATGACCCACTAGAGTCTTCCTGAGGAGAGTTGGAGGCCCTTGGGATACACGTGGTCCTACAGTCTTCATTTCCAGCACCCATTCCAGATGTATTACTCTGATAGAATATGCTGAGGATTGTAAGAACCGATTCTGGACGGGCATTCTCATCACCCACAGGTATCACAGGGTCTTGTCCTAATCACTTTCATTTGTATCACAAAACAACCCATTTTGGAGGCTCAGTTCTTGAATTAGAATCTGGATAGAAAGAACTAGGTTGGGTGTTCAGCGAAGTGATGGGAGGAGGGTAAGGGGCTAGAGGATGGGGGGAGGGGTGTGTGGAAGGTTTGGAGGAGAATACATTGTTATATCTACCAAATTCTTCCCAAACCTGAAAGGCCATATAGAAAACCCACCGACAGGACACTTCTAACCCCAGGTTCAATGGCTTCCAGGTTTCCGGGGCTGAGCTCCGTTCACTGGGACCAGGGGCAAACTCGCCAAACCCCCATGCTGACTGGTCACTCAACAGGCCAGAGTGGGCAGCTCTGTAAAGTGCAGATCCTGGTTCAAATGAGGTTGCTCCTGTAATCCTGTCTGTCACCCACCTACTTCATCAGGGATGAGCAATACTTGGTGGTAGTGCAGGGGAAGCAGAGCTTATGATTTGACCCACTAGGATGATAGGCTGGGCCTCCTGGACTAATTCTCGCTGCCTCCATCTGAGTCACTGTTACTCTTGTCCACATCCCATGTTCTGTCTCCCTCTCCAAGAGCCGGCTGTCTTTATTTAGTAAGTCTTAGCATTCTTAATCCCAGGGCCTCCCATGCCACATGGCCTGTTTGAAAGGAAAGCAGGCACATTATCTCAAATTCTTTTTGCTTTATGTTTTCAAATGTTATCTTGAAGATCAAAAGTGAGAGCTCGCCTCTCATGTTGAGCCCAGCTGTCCTGTGAGGTCAAGGACACCCTGATCAGCTGTGCACAACAATTTGCCACTGCCCTGTCCCCACCCTCCTTTGTGCTTCAAGTTCAGATGTGATGCTGTTGACTCACTTTAACTAGGAGAGATGATTGGAGGTTCTTTAACATAACAAGTGTTGAATGAATAGTGATTATGTCCCAGGCTCTGTTTTTAAGTTTAAGGACAGTTTTCAATTTCAGAAATGGTGGTTGGGCTAATAGGATGAAGGAAATGCATGCTTTGGTGGTAGGTGTGAGGAGGTGACATACATCTAAGGTGTGAACCTATTCCCCTTAATCACAGGCAGTGTTATAAGCCAATGTTACTGCAGTTATAAAAAAGAATTTATCTGATATTTTATTGAAGAATGTTTAAGTGACATGCAAATATCTGCAAAACAGCATATAAATAACATGTAACCAGATGAACTGAAAATAACATGAAATCAGGCCTACAAAAGCATTAGCAGCTCCTAAAGGAAGGAGTTGTTAATTCTATCCAGGGTATCAGACAGAAATGCTCAGGAAGGTCAAAGCTCAGATAGGTTAAAAGGGAGCTTTGAATATTAATCAACCATGTAACCCACTGCTCTTCACTGACTATTGGGTGACAGTGCAAACTTTGATAATATTCTTGCCTCCAGAAACCTGGTGACCTAACTGGTGAGTGAAATAAATGATTATCATAAAATATGAGCAATTTGTTTTGGACAAAGCTTATAATAAGAGCTTCCCTCCTACACACATATCCTTTTTTTTTTTTTTTAAGATTTATTTATTTATTAATACAAGCACTGGGCACAGTCAGAAGCGCAGGAGGGTGAGAATTCACCAGAGACAGAGCAGGGAGCAGAGCAGGCAGAAGGACCGAACTACACTGCTGAGGGGAGCAGCGGGTGGCAGGAGAGGTCTGCGCGCCATGTGGGACCCTCTGGTGGCTGGGGAGCAACCGGGGATGGAACCGGCTCTGCAGAGGCTGCGGGCAGCTTCGCAACCCAGCGCTCAACTGCTGCGCCACCGGGGAGGCCCTATACACATACCCTTTTTAAAAAGCATTTCCATGGCAAAATTCATCAACTAATTTTCAACTCGTCATCTAATTAAAATTCAAATGGCCCCGCACATGAGGGTCTACTCAAAGTCTGCACAAGAGGAAACTTGTCCAGACTTGCCCTCCCTAATCAGTGCAAGGACTAAAAGATGAACCCATGTCTGTAGAACTGCAAAGTCCATACTCTTAATATTAAGAGTTTGTGGGGACAACAATGAAAAGTAGGGGAACAGATAGCGGAAGGTGTGGGAAAGTGAAATTACAGGACAGGACCCAAAGGGCACAGACCTTGTAACTGTAATCTCTCCAGGAGCTTTTGTGTCAAGCTGGGCAGGTAGGATGGGGTTTGTTCTTTAAAAACTTTGGATGCCACACTAAAAGCTTTGTTTTTATTCCATAAACCATGGGAACACACGGTTGAGATTTTAGGTAGGATGTTTTATGAAAGAGCCCTGCCTTGTGAGCATATCTCTGGATAAAGGAGGAAAATGAAAACGGGCTTCCT